TCATGGATATGAATATACAGTACATGTAATATTATATTTTATATATACACTGCACTTTCCAACAATTCATTCATATTTCATTTAAACACAAATCTGTTCTAGTGAACAACTTTTCATATAATAGCTTTCAACTATTTCTAGCTAGCTGACTGGACACTCGATGAGTATATGTATTTATTCAACTTTATCGTTTAAATAAAATATATGATTCAAGTCTTTTGGGGCTTTAACCACTTTCTAAAAGCATATTTGAGAGTTAAAGCTAACGATATTTTTCACAACGCAACCCTGAACGCAAAGCCAATGAATCAATACAGTAATGTATATAGCGCGTATACAAAACAAGCGCTGCTATGTCTACTTCAAATACCCGACCAGCTTCAGACCTGTGTTTAGAGCTGGAGATTTGCAATTTCCCATTGGTGTCAACGGGAATCATTATACTCATATCTATTGAATACTATAGTGGAAAGGTCCATGTGCAGTATGGCAAGTGATTTTAGACAATCATATCTTTCACCATGAGTACTTTCTGGGCATAAATACTGTTTTTTTTATTAAAACAATATGTTTTCTTTCAAGTGAAGTACCCACGATGATAAAAATATCAATCGAACAATTCGAAAAATTATGAATAGGGACCCCATGTCAACAATTTTTCCAAAATGTTGAACCTATTTACTCAAAAGAGGATCTTCTTTTTCTGATTTCTATTGCATGAAAAGATTATTCAACAAGGGGTCTAAAGCTTCTTCAAAAGTGAATGGTATTGAAAGTCTAGTTTTGCAGGTATCAATTTTCGATGACCAAAGTTATGCTGAAAATAATGGATAGCTTTCCCTATGGGAAAATAACATGGGATATGTGGTTTTTAACTTTAACGCATTTCAATACCCATACCCTTTTCAGAAATTGTTGATATAGTATAGATGAAACTTTCCATATGTTTAGATTGAGAAAAACAAGATCCTCTTTTTAGAAAATAAGCCTAACATTTTTAAAAAGTGCCAATGTGGGGTCCTAAACCATAATTTTTTAGAGAGTTTGATTGATATTTTACTATCATGGGAACTTCTCTTGTAAGAAAACATATTGTTATTAATAAAAACCACTGTATTTATGGCCAGAAAGTACTCCTGGTGAAAGATATGACCGTCTAAAATCACTTGCCATACTGCACATGATCTTTTTGACTTTGATACACACTATAATACTTTTTGAAGAAAATGATGTGTGTCATAAATGTTTAAGCTCTAAATATCTTACTAAACAGGCTTGTTTAAAATATGTATCATAGAAAACTAGCTATATAACTATCAATGGCATATTACACGATGATGTGTAGTCTATGCAACGGACTAAGTAAAAGGCAGAATCAGATCTATAGGGGTGACAAAATTACAAGCAACTTTTAAAATTGACCTGCCAATCTATTTCTTACAATATCAAATACAATATCTCCCAAAAGACTCACAATATGTTATAAATTGGTCAAGTTATTCAAAGTGCAAAAATGGGTGGAAAATGTTTAAATTCTCCCAAATAATAAGAATGGTAACCATTCTTATAGAAGAATAATACATTATAAAAATCTTTAGTTTTCCTTGAATAAAGTATGCACTTTTGTGATTTTTAGAAAATAGACATGACAAGGAATGACATGAACCAAAAATATTCTAAAATTGAGACAATTTTTTGTTTAGCCTGCTCGCTATATCTGATTCTCTCTTAAACATTGTAACTGAACGGTTGTTTATGTGAGAAAACTACATGCATTTGTATAGCGTAACTTTAATGCGTACAGGTTTATGTTTCGATTTTATACATGTATGCATTGCTTAAAGTCCTAATTAACTAGACACCGCATAAATGAATGTTTGGAGAAATGAATTTTTACTTACATGTATTTTATTACTGTCATATTCCTCACTCTCTGATTGGTTAATACTCAGAAAGAAAGCATATTTTCACCTCTATTAATAGAGTCATACAGTTTGTACAGGTCAATAAATATACATAAATAATGGTGACCCAATAAGAGAGTGATTGGGAATGCACAGGTATTCCTCATAGCAGAATAAAATATTTGTCAAATATTTAAATATCATAATACAGGCCCATTGACTAGGCAATTATACATTATATATGTATACAGTATAGGATTATGTAACTATGCCTTCATTTTAAAATGTTGTCTCAAAAAGTTATTCTCTTAAATGGCAGAATTCAAGCAAATTTCAGTCATAGTTACATTTAACCTGTTAGTACCATATGTGTCTACTTAATATAGACTAGATGCGAGTAGAAATAATCTTGATTTACGTCATTAAAAATTCATAATCCAGTCAAAGTGATATCATATTTGAAATCTACATGCACAATCACATTTGTTTATCAACTTTGAAAATTTAATTTTCTTTGAAAATGTTACTTCTAGGTCGGGAGATTCCCCATAGACCCCATGCTATAAAATCACAAAAAGTGAAATATCTTATCTTGTATTGTAAAGATGATATTTTCTTTTACTGGACATATTTTAATTTGTATAACTATCAGATACATAAGGGTATCATGAGAATTGAAACACTAGAACTGTTTCAAGTTTAAGGGAACTTTCTAATACCCTGCCATGTTATCTGACCCAAATTAGCCACCTGGTGGTGAAACTGGTAACTTAACCTACTCGCATCTGGGTTATTGCCTCACATAATCGACAGGAATAAAATGTTTTCTCTCAAATCTACAAACATTCTCCACATAACACTAGAATAAACAAAACTAGAAAAACAAAAACTCCACGGAGTTGCAAATCCCACTGAACAAAACATGTTTTGATAAATAGCGGCCATATAAAATTTGAGCCAAATCCATCCACTGGTATTTGAATTATCAAAGATTATGTTTTTATGAAACATGGTTGCCATTTTGAAATTCAGTTGTCATCTTTAGATTTCTTCTTTAGCAATGCTCCTATGTCCCAAGGCATCAGCATATACAATTTAATCCAAATCCACCAACTGGTACTTGAGTTATCAAGGATTACATGTTAAATGAAAAACGGCGGAGATTTCGATAAATAGCAGCCACCTTGACAATTTCTTCTCAAGCAGAGCTCCTTTATCTCTAGGCATCAGTATATAAAATTTGAAGTACATCCGTCCAATGGTATTTGAGTTATCAAAGATTACCTTTTTCATGAAAAATGGCAGCCAGAAGCAGATCTACTTTTTCCCTAAACATCAGCATATAAAATTGGAACCAAATCCATCCACTGGTATTTGAGTTCTCAATGATTTACATTTTTACGTAAAATGGTGGCCATTTTGAAATTCAGTGGCCATCTTGAAAATGTCTTCTTGAGCAGAACTTCTTTGTCTTTAGGCATCACATAGAATTTGAACCAAATCCGTCAACTTGTATTTGAGTTATCAAAAAAAATAATACATTATTGTAAAAATCTTTCGTTTTCCTTGAATAAAGTATGCACTTTTGTGATTTTTAGAAAATACACATGACAAGGAATGACATGAGCCAAAAATCTAATCTAAATATTCGAAAATTGAAACAATTTTTTGTTTAGCCTGCTCGCTATCTCTGATTCTCTCTTCAAGTTCTTTTATGAAAAATGGTGACCATTTTGGAATTTAGCTGCCATCTTGAAAATCCCTTCTCGAGCAGAACTCCTATTTATCAAAGATTATATTTTTTATGAAAAATGGCCATCATTTTGAATTAAGCGGCCATATTGAAAATTCCTTTTCGAGGAGAGGTCCTACACCCATAAGGCATAAGCCTATAAAATTTGAATGAAATCTGTCAACCGGTATTTAAGTTATTGCCCAGACACACGAACGGACGGATGGCTATTCTATATCCCCCTCGAACTTCGTTCGGTGGGATAACTAGTAAAAAAAAAATACAAAAGTGAAAATGGCACAAATTTTTAAGCAATATATTACAGCAATACAGTGCAGACGGTGCAAACATAGAGCTTATTTACAAGGAGGGATTGAATATGGGTTTTAACTGAGTGGCAGTACATGTATTTTTTTCATGAGGGATTGAATATGGTTTCATACTGAATGGCAATACATATATGTTATTTACTGAGGGACTGTAGGGATTGTGTGATATATCATATTGGTTGAGGTATTAAAGTTTTAAACCCAAATTCAATTCTCATTTACCAGGTTATAAGAATTTTATGTAAAAATGCAGATACTTTACAAGCATATACATATTATCATCATGTACAACTGAGTCTGTTACTCAATATACATACTTGTATATTGATACAAACTTTGGTCTTCCCTTTACACACATATATACAGTTTACATTATATATTTATTTACAATATACAATGTAAATATTTACATCTATTTCGCAATTGGAGATATATGTGTTTCTGGTAAGGAAACATATCCACTCAGAAAAACATCTCCAAAGCATGTGACTTGTTCGCAGCTTATTTCTTATTAACCTTACATAAAGTAAATATTACTTAAAGTAAGGAGAGATTTAAGCTTCTGATACAATTTGTTTTATATCATAACATGCAAGCTTACATGTAACATCCAAGTTAACTTGCTTGCTTATATCCACTCAGATTTGTAGACAAGTGTGCAGAAATTCACAGCACTGAAAGATTTCTCACGAATAATTCCTTGTCAGTTATAGTAATACATCATTAAGGCTTTAGGTGTTTGGTACTGATAAACATACTTTTATAGTGCTGTTTTATAGACAAAAGGTTAAACTTGCAAAACCTTTACCACTCTTTACCATGTACAGTAAGTCCACTTGTTGTCACCACGTTATTTGCCCAAAATCAATGTTTCAGATGATTACCATTGAATTTTGAATAGTTCATTGAATTAAAACATAATTATTATACTATTACAATGATTCCTGAAAATTTAAAACATTTTACAAGGTAAAGAGTAAAAGCCTTTGAAGTGAGAGTAAATTCTATAAAATATTGGACAAATGTAACATTGTTCTGTATGGTGTCCACTTATACTTAGCATCAACTGCTTTATTGTACAGGAGATCCTTTAAGTGTCAACTGCCATACTGTATGGTGTCCACTTATACTAGATAGTTGCAGATAGCAACTCAAGATGGGTCAAACCAAATAAATTATACTTATTGCATAGTCATGTCATGCCATTCTCTCCCCATATGACATGTTTAGTCATGCAATCTTTATGTACATTTTCAAGAATAATTTAATTATTTGCTTTACACAATATTTTCCTGGTGAAAATAGAACAGAAAAGCTTGTAATCAATATATCAAATATCTGACTAAAAACCTTCCATTCCAATTGGATAACATAGGTAATTCACTCTTCATTTTTCTTCAATATGATGTCAACTAAATAGTTACGAACATCATATCTATGTATATTATGAATCTCCTTCAGAATGTCTGTGACTGGTACAGCTTTTGCTATCAGACTATGAAGGAGACCTTTACATCCACCACAACAGTCAAGTTCATTATTGCTGTATCCAAATTTTTCACCCAAATGTTTAAAATTCTTAATATTGGGTCTTTCTGGATCCATATCAACGCAAATCCTGTCTCTCTCATCAAGGCTCAGCTTGTCTAACATCCAGCCATTGCCTACAACACATATATTTCATGAAATTGTTATTTAGAAAAAAGCAGGTATGCAAGGTTACACATTAAATCAGATTTACATTTCATTTGATTGGCCTGTTGTATGAACATTCTCACCTCACCCTCAATTTTAACTGTGTTATACAAATATATATTTATCATTATCATTTCTACATGTATATCTGACTATGTAATCAATGTGGCATACAGATATATTAATAGTACAATAACGTCATTTCTACGCTCGCAGAAATGACGTTATTAGTATTATTACCACCGTTAACGACCAGGACTGAAACAGCAAGAAAATCTTACGCATTGAACGATATTTAATTTCCCAGGGAAAATTGCCGGTCCAGAATATATTCTAGACCGGTCCATATGGACCACCACTCCGTCACACATTTCTCAGGTCGATATAGTAAAATAAACGCCTTCTAAACTAGCACTAAAACCCCTAGAACTGGCCCAGCAAGGTGGTAATAATTGTAATTTATATTCGGTAGAGTTTACGAATTTAGAATATAAATAATTTCTATAGTTATTGTGGGGTGTAGTACATGTATTTGTCGTGAAAATCGAACACGATTTTGATCCAGCTGCGAGCTGCATTGTTATTAGCTGTTTAGTGAGCTGTGTTGTTAGGTTTGTACACATCATTCTGGCTCTTGGCTCCGCAAGGTAAATTCCTTTCATTACTAGACTTTATATCACACAGTCGATAGGTCCAAGAGTTGTTGCATACCTTTTAGGCCTTGCAATTAAGAGCTCCTCAAAATTTTGAGGTTTTAATGGTGTAAACAACTCCGAAAATCAATCGACTTAATTAGAACTAATTTTGCAGAAGGAGTCCATTTTAATGGAATATTCATAAGTGTCTAATGTCTTGCGTGCAACTCGTTCTTTTAAAACAGCGTGTCTCGCCTACGTATTGTGTTACTGTCCATGTTTGCATGTACCTGAATTACATCACATTGCAATAAACTGTACTGCGGCCACAAGCCATTGCTTTTCTTGAATTACTGTTATGTTCTTTGTAACGTAGCCTGATAATTGGTATAGAAATATGATTATCATTTAGCCCTAAAACCCCAAATACATGTTACCACCAAAGTCTACTCTCCTCCACTAAAACTGGCCATTTTAGATAACAAAGCGATGTTAGTGGGCATTATCTTCCAATGGTAGGCCTAATTTTTAAATAGGCCAAAAATTCAAAAAGGGCCCAAATCTTTTACAGGCCATCGCCTAACAGCTATAATAAATATCAGTACTACCACTTACACTTATTCAATGCTTCCTGGTATGCCTTCTCCTTCTCAGCCCGAATCTAAAAAAAAAATTGTATTTAACCTCATGGTTATTATGAAAACTTTTTAATGGGGAAAAATGGCCACATTTGAGGTATGTACTTAAAGAAGTTCATTTAACATTTAGTCAGTTGGTCTTGGGACTCTAAAACGTGTTCCACAAGGAAGGTGTTCTTCTTAAAGAGGTGCATTTAACATTAAGTCAATTGGTCTTGGGACTCTGAAGTGTTCCACTAACAGAGGTGTTCCACTTTACAGGTTTGACTGTTTTTCTTGAGAGATCATTGTAAAACTCCATTGGCATATCTTAAAAATATGACCATTAAAAGAATAAATCAACTTTTAAAGAATTTTTAACCCAGTCTGAATGGGGATCCTTGGAAATCAAATAAAATGGAATAACTATGTATATCAAACTTCTCTTAGGGAGAAAATCATACATATAATTGAAATATGTTATAAAATAAAAGAAAATGTAAGTTTAAGCGAGATTTCAAATAGCTTTGCAAATATTTGATTGTGAGAAAATGTGAATTTTGCACCTACCTGAGAAATAAATTCTAGGAAGCACCCTAATATATTTTGAAATATATTCTTAAATATTTTGATAAACAGAAAATTAAATTAGATTTCTATATTTTATCACTAAGAATTTACATCGATTTCTATTTCATAACATGTTTTTAGGATTTAGTTCCCAAGGATCGTTTTTAGGGTATTTAGCATTTGTTTAACATATAACTTGATGTTGCATATACAGTAGAACCTGTATATCTGAACACCTGGCTAATCCGAACACCTCCCAATCTGAACACCTTTTTTTGGTCCCATTTTCTCCTTCCATTGACTCCCATGTTAAAAAAACCTTGAAATGTGAACACCTCCCAATTTGAACAGTGAACAGTCATGTTTGAAAAACTCACCTGTCTAATCTGAACACTTTTCATAAAATTTCTGATGTTTCATACAAAATTGCTCAAATATTGTCATTATATCAAAATTTTGGGAAAAAATCTTGAATGGTCTCATTCATAATGGGGCTTTCCAGCATGACTAGATTCATTTAAATCGAGTTTTCACATTTCTGGAATGCCATAAAGTTATGTTGTCAAAAGAACTATAGATATTTACCGAGAATGTGTTCATATTTCTTCAGAATCCGGAATATCGCGAATGCAAAAACCTTGAAATGTGAACACCTCCTAATCTGAACGCTTTTATCCGGTCCCAATGGTGTTCGGATTAGACAGGTTTTACTGAATATGAAATGAAACAGTACAAAATTATTGGTTGTCTCCAATGGAGATTATGTGAAATAATGGAGAATTGCTTACCTTGGAGTTTGGTTGGCTTTCTGTCTGATTCGTTGTTTGAAGCAGATTTGTTGGTGGGTTTTGGTATATTGTTATATGGTTATTGTTCCCATTGATGGCCACATTGGATTTTTCTTCACCATATTGATCACCGATACCACATTTCAAAGCTTGCTCTCTCTGAGAAATTGGTCTTGACTCTTCCGTTCGGACATCGATATTAGGGAGGGAGGCATCTTTAAAGCTACTGACATCACGATGAGGCTGAGGAGTGACTCTAGCATTTCCCTGATCAAGTCTCTTCTTAGGAATTGTAGCATCAGAGTCATGGGATATCGGTGGCCTTAGTCTCTCATCTCTGCTATTAGCAGAGAAACCCCCACTTGAAACACGAGGTTGTCGTTGCTCATCACAAAGTGAATTATCATTTGGGATATTACTAGCCAAGTTGTTAGCTTCTAAAATAAAATACAAATGAATTAAGAAAGAAATTAATTGAAAATGTGGCCAATGTTTCGCTGACCATTTAACATGGACCGCCAATTATGTCCATTTGTCAAATAGCTAGTGGTTTCAACTTTATGTGGATAAATATAAAATCGCTACAATAATGCAATAGATCATGTACACAACAAGCAAACCTACAGTAGTTGTACTTTTCTAGTATTTACCTGATATGACTGTTTCTAAGGATAACTCTCCATTTACTGATTCAAGTTCTGAGGGCCTCGAAGAAGCTGGCTCAGGATTCATTGAGCTCATGTAAGGGAATGACTGTATTTCTTGATTACAGACCAAACCAATGGCACATTGGCGGCTCTCCTTCTCCTTCTCTTGGATTTTCATTTCCACAGAGCGTTGTTTAATCAGCACCTTAGGGTTAGGAGCAACCATTTCCATATTTGGATTAGGAACTAGTCTGGTTGTATCAACCAAGGTACTGGTCTCATTCTTTGATACTGAAGAGTTTGTCATGAATGATTCTGGTCTAACTTCATCATCCATTGTTGATCTCCGACTGCTGCGTCCACAAATACCATTCTGCTTCCAACCACAGTCATTGCACTGACATTGTGGGCAGTAGTCAATGTTAAGAGTATCACAATGGGAATCAGATTCGGACACTGTGTGGACTCTTGGTTTCCCAGATTTAGGGATAGCTTCTTCACATTGGCCATTACTAAAGATAATAAAATAAAAACACTCTATTACTTTTTAAATAATAAATGTTAAAAAGATATAAAAAAGGATAATAAAGGTCTATTATTTTCCAAAATGTTTGCAGTAATGAGGATATTGTTGAAAAACAGTGTGCTATTAGTATTCACATGGAAGTAAATTGCCATATTGGGAATTATTGATATGGTCTAATAAATCAACATTAGAAATAATTACTTCACTGGGGATGTCAGTTTTTGCTTTTTTGTATCAGTTTCAACCACCAAATCAAACATAGATTTCATTGGTTCAAATTACATGTTTAATTACACAGCAGCGAATATATGTGGATGCAAAAGTTCTACTATTAAATGGATGCCAAAATGGATGAAGTTTTCTTTATTCTGACAAATTATATTATTAATTTTGTTTGATATGAAATTCACACAATCATAAAGCTAGTAGTAATAGCTAGGCATGATATATCCAATTCCAAAAAAGCAGAAGATTATTTTAAATAATATTCATTATTGAAGACCAGACCAGAGTGCATGGTTATTTTAAGATTTAGTGCAATTACCCTCATTGAGAACCCTTGCAAAAAGGAATCAATGTAAAATAAAACATCATTCTTTTAGGTGATATTGTACAAAATATTTTGCAATGTGTGAAAAGAATTATGAAAATGACTCAATCTATTGTGGATGATTTATAATGAACCCAAGTCTTGTATCCTAGACTTGGAATTCAGGCTACCACATTCCAGGCCCTTTAATGGTGCATTCTAGTACATGTAACAAGTACATCATGCTAGAGTATAGATCTTTCAAATATATTATTATGAGCTTTATTATACTTGTATCCCACATTTGGGCAAAGTGTACAGCTTAAACAGAAAAAATGAAAAAGCTTAACTAATTATCTATATAGTATATTAACTAATCAAAGGGTGCTTGATCATTGCAAGATTTTATTGGATGCATTTCGTGTTTTTTTCTCTCTCGATAAAAATATTAGATATATATTTTGCTAGTATATTTAATATTATTCCCTCTGAATTAAATAGAAACATTAATATATGTTCCATGTTATTCATGTTTTCTAAATTTTGACAGTGTTTTTTTATTTTATCCATGTAACTTGACCGAACATCTTTTAACTTATTGCATTCTAATAGGAAATGGCATTCTGAACCGGTTTTCTTGTTACACATTAAACATTTTCTTTCTTCAATAGGGGTAATTGGTTTTGTGTAACGACCTGTTTCGATTTCTAATTTATGTGCGCTAATTCTTAGCTTTGTCAAGTTATTTCTGTCTATTTCATTTTTGATTAAATCCAAGTAGGGTTCCTTGTTCCATTTTGCTTTTATTATCTTATAAAACCTCAATTTACCATTATTTGATTTTATTTTAGTTTCCCAAAATTGTATGTATCTATTTTCCAGTAATTTCTTAATTTCTCTTGGTTTTAAGTTTAAATAGTTTGGTGAAGTACCATTGTAAATATATTTAAGTACATCATTGATGTGCGTGAGCCATGATTGTTTATTCATATCTGTCAGTTGTTTATTTACCTCAAGGGCTTCACGTAGAAGCGAGTCGGTTCCTTTATTGTTAATATGATTAAGATATTTCATTTGTTGATAAAACAAAGAAATAAATAGTGGAAACCTACCTAAATCGCCTCGTGTAGCGTCATTACTGGCCTTTCTGTTAACACCGAGTATCGATTACATAAATGATATATGAAGAGATTCAAATGTTATTCCATCATATCCCTTTTCTTATGCCCATTGTGGGTCTTTTTTAATTTTACTCGAGTTTAAGATACCCATACCCCATATATCAGATCCATAGAGGCATATGGGCTTTATGAGTTGATCAAATAGTTTTAAGCATAATGATGGTTTCATATTACCATTAGAAATTAGACTTAATAATTTAAATTTTGCCTTTTCAGCTTTGTCTTTGACATGCTGGGCTGCAGGTCTCATTGACCCACTTATGCTTAATTCCATTCCCAGGTAAATGTATCGTGAAACAGATTCTATTTTGTAATTTCCTATAAAGAAGTGATTATCAATAAGTCTACCATTTTTATTCATTACCATAATTTTGGTTTTATCAGTGTTGATATTTAAGTGCCATTCTTCACAGTATTTTTCTAATTTGTCCAATTTGGTTTGCATTTCATCTTTTGAGGATGCGATAATTACTAAGTCATCGGCAAAATGGAGGCTTCCAATTCGCTTATTATTTAATAAAGGGTCTGTTTTGAGATCTAATGTTTTAATAATGTCATTTATATATATATTAAATAGAAGAGGACTTAGGGGGTCCCCCTGTTTTATTCCCTTGTTACACTCAAATTCATTGGTAAATAAACCCTCATTATCTAGTCTGACTCTTGCTTTTGATTGTGAATATATATGTTTTATCATTTTATAGAATAAACCGTTTACCCCCGATTGCAAAAGTTTCAAAAATAATCCATCATGCCATACCGTATCGAAAGCTTTCCTCAAATCAACAAAACACATATATATATTCCCTTTTTCACTTACTACATATTTAACTACGAGGGTTCGTATAATGAACATGTGGTCAGTTGTTCGTGCTTTCTTTGTGAAACCGGCTTGATTTTCCGATATTATTTTTCGGTCATGTACAAAGGCGTAAAGTCTATTATACAAAATTATTGAAAATAATTTGCCAAAGCAATCAGAAATAAAAATACCTCTGTAATTTCCAGGGTCTTTCGTCGTTCCTTTCTTAAATAACGTAACGATTGATGAAATATTCCATTTCTCAGGGAAAACTGTTTTGCTTAGTAATATGTTAACCCTTTCCCGACGTGAATATAAGAGGAAAATGTTGGCCCTGGTGACGGATAAGTAAGAGCAGTTTTTAGGGGAAAACTGAAAATTACCTATGCCCAGAGACCTATACCTTGAATTTTATCACTGAAATACATTTTTAGTAAGGACTATCGTATTAGAACAACTTGTCAAAATTTGGTGTAAAAATACTGAATAGAACTGGAGATATTATCATTTCATCGATGTATATAAACAAAAATTATGGTGCCAAAAGGAGCCTATCGTCCTGAAAGGTATTACATAATAGGGCTCCATATGGAGCCCATCGTCGTGAAAGGGTTAAACATTTTACAGATAACATTATTTAAAACTGAGTATGACGCTTTAATCATTTCATAGCTAATGCCGTTAAAACCCGAACTCTTGTTGTTCTTTAATTGCTTAAAGGAATATTCCTTGCCAGACCCTTTCTCTCTTGATATGGTAGCTATAATCACATATATAGTTTCCATATTTAGCAAAACATGGGAAAATGTTTTAATATGGTCAATATTGATCATTTAAAAATCCAGTGCTTATTTCCAGTGATCTGCCATCTTTTAAGATTTCTTGCAGGAAGTGATGTCATCAACTCTCAACTTCTATAACCTTGCCTATAACAGGATAGGAAAGTAGCACAAAATCACTTCTAGACAAGTGATCATTACTTTCTGTGCAAAAATATTTTCAGGGCTTGTCAACTTAGAATAAAAGAAGAGATTTTCAGAAGGATTAAATAAGATACAAAGTTGAAAAAGAATATTTAGCTGGTTTTGTAATTCTTAATAGCTCCTCACCTAATGCTATATGCAAAGTTGAGAGTCGATGACATCACTTCCTTTGTGAAATTTTAAAAGATGGCAGCTTACTGGAATTGAGCATCATATTTCTAAGTGATCAAATTTGACCATATCAAAACATTTTTGCGTGTTTTGCTAAACATGGCAAGCATATATGGTTATAGCTACCATATGAGGAGAGAGATGGTTTGGCAAGGAATATTCCTTTAACTGCCTTGTAAACCTCGTTTTCTGTTATTCTGAAGCTAAGTTCGTCAAAATGATTGTCATTTTCTATTGATTTAACAATTTCGTTGACTTTTTTGTTGATTTCGGTATTTTTATCCTTTTCAAATAATTTGGAAAAATGTTCATGCCATTTCTCTGGTGTTATATACGCGGACTTATTGTTTCCGTCTTTGTGCCTTAGTTGCTCAAGTAGGGACCAATATTCTTTAGGGTCATTGTCATAAAGTTCTTCTAATTTATTTATCATATTAGTTTTAAATTTCCTCTGTTTTATCTTACAGCATTTCCTATATTCCTTTAGCCACTTGAAGTAATTACCTCTAATCATATTATCATTTGGTGATTTTATTAGTTTTGCTCCAATTGACTTAACCTTTCTTTTCAGTATACTACAATCATTATCAAACCATTTTTGAGATATCGAGCCCCCTTTCTTTTTACAGGGTAACTTTTTTGTAGTTTTCTTTTTGCTGTGTTAATTATAATTTTTTCGAGCTTGTCAATACAATCATCAATATTGTAGGTGTCGTTTAGCTTGTAATTGAGTTCATTTATATCATTTCGTGTTTTTAAATTATTGGAGAGGTTCGTTTAAATTGTACCTCTCGACGGGCGTCCCATTTTTCCCATGGTTTCATTTTGATAGTATGCCCATTGTTTTTAGTCCGATTGTTACCGTGGTCGTTTGGTATTCGTACTTGCATTAATAGAGAAATCTTGCAATGATCAGAGAGCACACAAAGGTTATCATGAACCTTGAAGTATATAATATCTGGAAGCATATTTTCATGAATAATACTATAGTCAACTACCTGCTTCCGTTCCATTTATGGCATGTGAATCTACCGGGCGAGTCCCCAAGTACTCTGCCATTTATAATTCGTAAATTAGATGACCTGCATAGGTCTAGTAGCTTCTTACCCGAAGCATCAACAACTGAATCCATGCTGGAACGTTCATTGATGGTGACATCGTTGGGACAAAGCAGAATGTTTGGGATATGATCATCATAACCGTGATTATTTTCAAAATCGCGTACTTCACCTGTTCATGTTTCTTAAGATGTAATTCTGAACAAGATCCACAGTGACATTCCAAGCATTAAAACAAATGGGCGCTGCACCCATTGAGATTTTAATAATAGGATTGCAAAAATATAATAAAAATAATATTCACTTATATAAGAATATCTAATACCACACAAAAATGTATATAGTTGTTTTACTACAAGAATGGAAAATATGATTATGCTAAGATAAGCAACTTTAAATAGTTCTCATATTTTATAGCATGTGTATAGTAAACAGATTTACAAACATACATAGACCTTCAACAATCAAGCATATAAAATAAAATAAACTTAGCAATTTACCTTTTTAGAAGAAGCTCATTCTCAGTTATTTCTTCTCTTGAACCTAAAATAAATAACAGGATGAAGGGTATTTTGAATATTTTAATTTATTATTATTATGGGTATGACATTATATGTGTGACTAAAGTGTGTGTATGATTTTGTGTAGGTTGTCTGAAATTCTGTAAAATCAGCTCATCCTGTTTAAATATATAATAGTCTTGACAGCTAAATCATTTTCAACTCTCCATGACCTGTTTTGAAGCTTAGGAAATTTCTAAAGATAAATTTTCTTCATATATTTCTTAATAATATGTTGAATTGATTTTAAAAAGAAATTGGAAAATTACTGACTAAAAACAAATGTAATCTTCAAACATTAACCCTTTTGCATCCTGATTGTTCTTCACTATTTTCTACAAATGATCGGTGGAAAAGTGCAGGAGTGGTGCTTCTTTAAAAACAGTATTAATTTCAGAGTATTCAATTCAAATAATAACGATTTCTATAAACAAGGTTGTGTTTATATCATTCCCTATTGGTTGGGGCTATACTGTGATATCGTCCCTCAGTGAAAACTGATATTATAGTACCTTTTTCTGGATCTTGTGATGGTCCATTGAAGCAAATGCGTTTTGGCTTATTTCTCCAATAACACCAACAACTGATACATATGGAGAACACAGCTCCCACTACTAGTATAACTGCAATCAGTATCGCTGTCAAGTCTGTCCCAGAACCTATTAACATTAAGAATCATACTCAAGTGGTTACATGTAGTTTGGTATCAATCAGAGGAAGGCTGTACAAACTATGGGTACCAGGGTTAAAAGATACATCCTACAGTGGACATGAACTGTATTGTTATTATAATCTAAATCAACAATCATGCAAAATGATTTGAAAAAAGACCTCAAAAGGACCTCCTTACTTTGTTTTACACTGTACTATTGAGTTTTTTTGTGGGGGTAATATCACAAGCTAGATATCGCTAGTGTTGTTGTGATGGTAAGTAGAAGCTATTCATTGGTCCTTAATGCCATTTCATTACAACTTTGATGATCTTCAAATCTAAACTGTTGCTGGTAAAATGGTAGGAAATTCAAATATTTGTAAATTGAATAACCAGCAACCTATTTTTCAAAGGTTACGTTTTCCAAAAATGCCTCAAACAATTTTTAAGTCATGACAAATGATCAAAATTTGCACTTTAACATACATGTAATCCTAATACAGTATACATATTTTATAAAATTGATGCATTCTGCATGAAAACATCATTAACCTATGAGTGTTTACCTGGTTCATTATTCAGTTCTCTTGATGTGTTTTCAGTTTGATCATGGTGTGTGACATTTTCCACTGTGATGGCTTTCGACATTGTTGTTGTTGTTGTTGTTGTGTCCTTTGCTATCAAATATATCTCGCATCTTGGATCACTTCGTCTCCATTCACAAGGGTCACACTCAAAATTATCTTCCATTTCAGATTCAACATATCTACAAATTTTTCACACACATGTACAGATATATTTAAGACTATGCCTCCACAAATTATGAATTTAAACTTTCATATGTAGTTGACCAATGTTGGCATTATCATAAAAAGGTTTTCTAAAAATATGTATCAACATTTGAGCTCACTCACTACACTTGCTCAGTAAATTATATTCATTCCTGCAAATTCTGATGATATGTAGTACTATTCTTGAAACCAAAGGGGTGGTTTTGATCACATGTGGTATTTAACAATATGTATATATACTGTATATACTTTCTAACTTGTTCTCTACATGTATAATGTACATACCCATATTCACACTCTCCACACTCAGCATTTGATTCACTAGTTGCATTTATAATATAAATCCTATGGAAAGTATGACAATGATAGCTTGTTTTGCATATATCAGCTTCATAGGCATCGCTATATTTATGTTCCTTGGGATCACACCACACACAATCCGCATCCTCTCCAGCACCATAACCACATCGCTGAAAACACATATAAACACAGAAACAGTTTATTGCCAAGTAATCTTTGTAGTCTCTAATATATTTCACTTCTGCTATATGTAAAGGGGTTGAAAACCCATAATACGGATATAAATTAGGGGAAGATGTTTAATTGAATTGATAAATAAGAAGGAACTCAATTATAGTTCATTGGCCTCAGAATATTAGACATCAATATTTGGAGCATAATGATAATAAGTTTTTGTTTATTCTACAATTTGTTCTTGTTATCCCCTATTTTAGAAATTTCAATGACACAGAAAATTAAAAATTCAATTTGAAATCCATCACCAGATCACTCTTTCCATGCCCCTTCCAATAGTTTATTTAGCTTCTAAAAACACCCTTGGTATACGCAGCTAACGAAAATTGACCGGTACGGGTCAAAAGCTGGACCGGTACGGGTTAACGGTTTTATTTGAATTTAAAACAGCCATAACTTGCTCAATATTGACTTCCTCGTGTCTAATTTGAAATATATGATGCCTCCCGATGCTTTTAAGTACCCCAATTTTTTACAGATTTTTAAACGGACCAAAACTCTCTAAATGCGCATTTATGCTCTTTTCTCTCGAGAACGACTGTCTTATTTTCACGATAACTTTTATTTAGTACTTCTAACATATAAGGTCTATTTTTCCCCATCAAGGTATGATGTAAATGACATGCTATTTACATCTTGTGAGTTTCAATGACGCGCGTTTGATTTTATAAAAAATGCCAAACTTTGTGACAAAGAATTTCATCAGCTATTGCCCCGAACCGGTCCGTCTTCTTGCTGCAAGCAGATTGCCCCGAACCGGTCCGTCTTCTTGCTGCAAGCAGGCAGGCAAGCAGGCATCATATATTTCAAATTTGACACGAGGAAGTCAATATTGAGCAAGTTATGGCTATTTTAAATTCAAATAAAACTGTTAACCCGTACCGGTCCAGCTTTTGACCCGTACCAGTCAATTTTCGTTAGCTGCGCATACCAAGGGTAAACAAGAACACAAATGTGTACAAAATGTCCCCACCAATGGGTGATCCCATCAAATGGTTATCCTGAAAATGAGTAGACAAGACTTTACCAACACAATTTTAATTGATCCGTCACACAGTTAACTAGAAAACATGTAAACAAGACTTTACTGATAAGATTTTAGGACAGAAAATCCAAAATGGCTGCCTTGACATTTACCCAGAATGTCAAAAAACTAATCTGTTCCTAGATTTTCATACTAAGAATCATCCCTGAAAATATGACATTGATCTACCAAATGGTTCACTTGAAAACGCGTACACAAGACTTTACAGACAAGATTTTAGGACAGAAAATCCAAAATGGCTGCCATGACATTTACACAGAATGCCAAAAAACTAATCAGATGTAGATTTTCACACTAAGAATCATCCCTGAAAATTTGAAATTGATCTACCAAACGGTTCACCTAAAAACGCGTAGACAAGACTTTACAGGCAAGATTTTAAGACGGAAAATCCAAAATGGCTGCCTTGACATTTATCCAGAATGCCAAAAAACTAATCAGATCTAGATTTTCATACTAAGAATCATCCCTAAAAATTTGAAATTGATCTACAGAACGGTTCACCTGGAAATGCATAGACAAGACTTTACAGACAAGATTTTAGGACAGAAAATCCAAAATGGCTGCCTTGACATTTATCCAGAATGCCAAAAAACTAATCAGTTCTACATTTCCATACTAAGAATCATCTCTGAAAATTTGAAATTGATCTACCAAACGGTTCACCTGAAAACGAGTAGACAAGACTTTACAGACAAGATTTTAGGACGGAAAATCCAAAATGGCTGCCTTGACATTTACCCAGAATGCCAAAAAACAAATCAGATCTAGATTTTTATACTAAGAATCATCCCTGAAAATTTGAAATAGATCCACCAAACGGTTCACCTGAAAACACGTAGACAAGACTTCACAGACAAGACTTTAGGACGGAAAAATCCAAAATGGCCGACAATAAAAAAGTGATTATGTGTTTTTGCTGATTTCTTCTTACAAAATTATCACATATTACTACTTTTAACAATAACATAGGCTTTTACAACAAAGTAGATCTGAAATTATTTATAAAGCTACTAAATACTTAAAGTATGAAAACTCAAAAACACCATTCAATATGATACAAAGTATTATCGTGCGCTAACTTTTCTTAAGACATTCAAAATGGCTGACATGACTGAGCTAACAGGTCCAAAACCTAATCAGATCTAGAATGAAGTGAGCTGAACAAGATGTTAAAGTTTTAAAAGCAACTGTGAAGCCGTTTTTCTTAAAGTTTGCAGACAAGGATTTTAGCATTTGACTTCAAAATGGCCGACAGGAAGTAGGTATCGAGTTAAAATTTTTTCATCCACATCTGTATGCACTCATAAGTTAACCCTGAAAATTTGAAGGTGATATCTGAAGCGGTTTTGGAGAAAACTCCCGGACGTACGGACAGACGGACGGACAGACGGACGGACGGACGTACGGACGGACAGACGGACGCGCCTAGGCCGACAATATGGCCCCACACTATGTGGTGGGGACATAAAAAGAGAGCAAATATTTCTAGGTTCTAAATTACCAGCAGGGTAGCTTCAAATAATATCTGTTTGAAAATAATAAAAAAGATGGCATTCCTGTGAAGTAATGAATCTATAGATAAATGTATATAAACAAGGCCAGTAGGAGTCACGCCATCATGCTAATCACCCCTGGACTTTGACACCATGCAAACAAGTCAAAGAACGGTGTTTTTTTCACTAATATAGAACCTTCACCGACATTGCTTTCCAAATATCACTTTAATTCTAAGAGTGAATAATCAATCATTAAAATATACAGAGGCTATTGAAATACATTCTGCTAGGCGGTGTCTCTGTAGCTGTAAGAATAAGATGCACTCATCACAAAATTCCATACACCAAAGGGAATGATCTCAATGATTGGCAGTTAGCTGAGTTCATAAAATCACTTATTCAAATATTAGGAGTGGACACAGTGACCAAACCTTTGTGATCAAACCATCCATACGCATACAGACAGAATTTTTTTATCTGGCTAAAGGGAGGAAAACAACACAAAACAAGCCAAACAATCCTGGCAAAACAACACAAAACAAGCCAAACAATCCTGGCAAAACAATACAAACACAAGCCTGTCTGGATAAAATTGCCAATTTCAATTCAATTCATTTTTATTTATTTCATAATTCTTATATAATATACACTATAAAAACAAGCCGCTAGACACCCTAGTGGGTATATGTTGCGGTTTAACAGAAATTATTAAAATGACATCTAGACTACATATAAAAGAAAACACTTATATTATGTTACATGTAGGTATATAAAAATGGTATTAACAATTTATCTAAGGATGTACAATATAAAAATCAGGTACCAGTATAAAATCAACAATACAGTATGATCTGATTGGTATTATACATTATCGATAGATGAGTAGTTTTTTATATGAAGATTTGAAAATATTTAGAGTGGAGCATTTTTTAATATCATGTGGTAGACCATTCCAAAGATAAAGAACCTAGATAGCGAAGGGAAAGTTTAGAGCATTTAGGGATATGAAAATAATGCAATTGTCTTGTGTAATGATGATGATATCAAACAAGTCTTGAAATAGATTTTTTGGAAGACTGGGGTGCTTATTAAAGATTTTGTACATGAACTGACCAGTACAATATCTGTTGACATCAAAAATATTTAATATTTTAAGATCTTTAAATAGGGGAGTGGAGTGAGAAAGTCTATCCTTATTTAAAGCTAGCCTTAAGAATTGTTTCTGCAGTTTATGTAGACGATCATAAAATGATTTAAATGTGTTACCCCAGATTATGTTGCAATAATTTAATTGAGAGTGTATCAATGAGTAGTAAATTGTTTTGAAACTGTCTAATTGAAGTAGATGTTTAATGTGATAAAGAGAACCAATGACGCGGGAAATCTTCGTTTCAACAGATTTTATGTGCTCTTTAAATTTCAGGTTTTTATCAATAATAATTCCAAGAAAGTCAATTTTTCCCGGAAATTTATGTTCTCATTGCGTATTTTAAGATTCAGATTTGTTTGATTTTTTTGGGTCCAAATAGAATAGCATTGGTTTTGCCAATATTAAGTGAAAGTTTGTTTGCTTTTATCCAGTCATCTATTGAATTCAAGTTTGCATTAGTTCTAGTCATAAGTTCATTTAAATCATAAACACTTATGATATCTAATTCATTACAAATTGATGATCCTGAACTGGGTTTATGTATTTTTATTTGTGTAATGTAGGTAGAATATTTGTGGGTAGTGGCAGGGCATTTGGTACACATAGAAGAAGGGACTTGGACAACTTGTATCATGTAATACAATGGTGAAACAGAAACACTGGAACAGTCACTAACATTTATAGAAATCAGAAAGCCACAAACAAGAATACACCAGGAAAATAATCACATAAATTGAATTTACCAACTGAAATGTATCCTAACTTTGATCTTCTGAAAGTACAATGACAATTTCAATGTAAAGGTATAATATCATGTCGACCAAAACTTTTATATTCATTTATAATTGCAAAGATTAGAGTGTCCCTGTGTTCCTTATAAAAATTGATCAACAATTTTGGGTTTTGATTCAATTGACCTCCAGTGAGATGTAAAAAAAACTTGTTTTTTAAAACCCATTCGAACATGACTGTATTCACGCCTTCTATAAACTGTAAACAAAGTCAACATTTCACCCGGGGTATATTCGCGAACAAAACCCCTGGTAATATATGTAATGTGTGTCGTCATAACGGTGGGCCGTAGTAATGGTGGACCATAATGAATATTTGAAACATGTTGGTGAGTTTTCATGTTCGAATCGTAATATAGACCTCAGAGCAGGTGTAATATTGTCGAATACACCCCTTAGGGCTAGGCAGAAAAGCTTTCAAACCCCTCACTCCCTTCGGTCGTTTGGGGTACAGAAAACGTTTGTGCCTAGCCCTGCGGGGTGTATTCGACAATATTACCCCTGCTCTTTGGTCTATATTTCTTAAATGCAATATTTACCTGAATTATAGCTAGAAACAGATATACTCGAAAATGGATATAAATATTGAAGGACAGGTCAGTCCATTTTGTTCTGGTGACATCACATTCTTAGAATCGCTTGGCTCATCAGATTTAGAAGACAAAATAGGGAGAAATGTTGATGTGTCCAATTGGACTGAATTCTACTCACTTTTATGTGGTTAACTGACGAGATGCAAGAAAATCGGCAAGATTTAGAAATGACAAGGTCTATGATCCAAATATTGTAAAAGATGAGCCTACCTCTGACAGTCCAAACCCTGCTTGGCATTTTAGGCACTCCACACAATAGGGATTTTTGTCTGGATTTTGAGGATAGGATATCCATCTTCTGTTTTCACATTGAAAACAGTCATCCTTTGTCATTTCATTATCAATATAATCTCCATGGCAACCTCTTGATTCACAATTTATCACTGAAGCAAAGCTAATTACAGCAAGGCAAACAGATTTATACTGGAAATAAAAATTGAAAGAACATGTACGTTAATTATTGAAAACAAGAAGTAATTTAGAGAAAACATTCAAAATAAATTCCCATAAAATATGTAGCAACATAAACAACAGATCATTAATTTTGGCAATACATTAGTCAATACATTAGTAAATACTTTAATCATTTGTCACTGTCAAGAAACAATGTGGGAACTAAATTATTACATTCTACATATTATTTATAGCTTACCAAGCAAAACACCACCTTGTCACAATGAAAAATATGTTACAATTACCAAATGCTGATGCCAGTCACCAAATATGGTATGCTATAACAATATGTCACCACTAAATAATTATGAAATTGACATAACAAACAAGAATACAGCAAGTCAATTTATGCTAATTAAATAATTGTGAATGAACTGTTACCATTGTCTTGTGTCTGTCTCGTGTCTTTGTCTTCGCCAAGATATTTTCATATGGTACTATATGTGAGGATGAGGTGGGTTGGTCTAGCTACAAATATTGATAAAAATGACATAATTGTTACAAAAGCAACCAAAAATGAGCAAAAGACAGGTTTAGTAATTTCAAATAGATTTCAAACAACATTCATGTTTCTTGCATGTCTATGTGATACAATTACTGGCCAATTCAGAGGTTGATGGTAAAAATTTTAGGCAAAAAATGTAAAAACAAGACCACTGGCCAAGGTTTATGTGAAGCAACTATAATTAATTAAAATGCAGACAATTATAAATCATGAGAAGGGAAAAGTGCACAGTAAAACCTGTCTTAGTGGAACAAATCTAGCACCTCTAAAAAGTGTTCCACTTGGGAGGTGTTCCGCTTACATAGGTTTTGTTTAACATTAATCCAGTGGTCTTGGGACTCTGATGAAGTGTTTTACTTACGGAGGTGTTCCACTTTTAGAGGTGTTTTACTTAACAGGTTTCACTGTGTAACATCGGAAGACTCCCAAAGCTATGCTGTCATGTTACTGTTTAATTTAAAGGTGCAATAATTTGACCAGTGTCAAAATATATTTAAGTTTGGATATTTCATCAAGACTAACATCTATTTTTATTATCTACAAAGAAACCCCTTAGATAAACATTATTTTAGCTGATATTCCTCTTGAAACATGGTGGATCTTAAAAATATAAAAGTGGAAGTCCCCTTTTTGAAGCTTTGAACTGAATTTACACTTCTTAATGCTGAAATTGATAATTTATCCATACATTTTAAGAAAATAGGTATGTCAAAGAAGACGTTAAACCAAATGTTGCCTCGATAGCTCAGAAAAAATGAAAAAACTTTCCTATTTTCTCTACAGTCCTTATTGCCCCTTTAATTTAATAAATCATATGTGACTAAGACAGAGAAAATGAGAATTTATGCTCTGTTAAAGAAAGTATAGACTTCTACAAACTAAACTGTGAACCTTGGAACAAACATTATTTATCATGTGGCTCTAATAATACAAACATATGACCTTTGATTTCATTTGATTTGCTGCAAATTAAACGAAAGGCTAAATTGATTACAGATTTATAGGTAGAGAACTTACCAAAGTATCTAGTTCCACAGATGTAGATCCCAGATGATAACAGTAATAATCTGCAATGATAAAATGAATGTACATTGAAAGACTACATGTAATTAGAGTTTGAAAATGCATAGAATGCACCATATACAATGTAATTTGTTTTAAATTTCCAGGGTGTGGACCCCATACCCCTCTGATTGGGGCTTGCAAAGGTATTGCGGGCTGTACTTTATTATTACACATTAAGGCTATTAGTATTATTAGTATTTGCATATTTATTGCAATCTAGCGTTAAGGTTCAACTCACATTGAAACATCTAATAAACAATGCATTTGTATTTGTTCCGTTATACTCTTTCACCATCAGTCTTTTACAATCATGTCTAGATTATTCTATCAAAAACTCAACAAATCATCTGACTGGACTTGTACTTCTAAATAAAGGTGTTACATTAGACTATTAGAAAAAAATCTCAAAATGTCAGATAAACATTCAAATGCAAACCATTTGTAACTTTTAAACTTATCGTAACATGTCTGAGATCTCTTGGGTTCAAATGAAATAGGAATTCCTACATGACATATCTATTATAATTCTATCTCATCTCAAACTGACTTTTGAGATGAACATATGAAACACCCTGTACACATACTGGAGAGGGTTTATTATGCAACCAAACAGATTGGCTTGGTTAGAAAATCAAAATGATAGTCAAAATGTACTTTACATATTCGTCGTATCAATTTTGAATAGAGTTCATTGGTCGACACACATGAGGATGTTAGGGTTTGCGTGTAAATCCAATTCATAAGTTCACATGCACAATCATTGTCTATATGTCTTTTCATAGGTTCTAAACTTATATCTCAACTTCAACTTTTATAAGAACTGTCAAATTAATCAATTGTTCATGTAATGAACTAGTTAGAGGGTCTTGTTTGTAGAACACCATGCCACAAGAGGTAGATCTATTGAGTTGATAATGTACACACTACAATAATGCAACAGATATTATATTCGCAGTCACTGAATAAAGTGAACAATTCGGAAACTATTTATGTCAACTGGGTACAATTCATCAAAATCAATATTGATTTAAGTTTGACAAGACCCTTTAAAGTACAAGTTTACATACACATTTTCGAAAGCTCTTTAATATAATAGCATGTACAATTACTGTGATACTGAATTTCAGATCAATAAATTTCTCAGCAATACAAAAGGATTAAAAAACAATTAATCTTGATTTTCACTTCCTTATATTATGGTTAAGATATTAACAGCTCAACAATCATAATTACTTCAACAATCATAATTACTAAAATACACCTGTTGACCTAGAAAATTATCTAGAAAATGGCAACTTGTAGGAAATCCAAATAAAATATATCCTTTCTCAAACACTAAAAGTATATTAAGCCCTAAATCATTCATAACAAATTCAATATTAGTGACTCACTTATTACCTTTGATTTAAATTTCATAATCCATACTTAGAAGGGATCTAAAATGAACAAACATTCCCTGAATTTGGGAGCATTTTGGATTCTATGAGTCCCTAATAGAAACTGCTCTAAAAACCCTTTAACCTTCGACCTTCGACCTATTATATGTCCAAAAAGAACAGTTAATAGGAGCTATTTTTGCCAATCTCAAAAAGCACTTGGGGAATTCTGCATGATATTTCATTTTTGGTTCAAATTTTTACGCATGCGCATGAATGGAGGAAAAACTGAGCCAAGTAAAAAAGGCACCTCGCTCAGATTGCCCGACTCCGGCCACTGCCATTTGTGCATTTTTTGTATTCTTCAATGGAGGAGGTAAGAAACGACTGAAACTTATGAATTTCAACTTAGAACTCAATAGGTTGTAGGTCGAAGGATATTAATCGGGGTTTTAATAAAGTTTTATTCCAAGAATTTCTGAACATCCAATAAGTCAAAGGTTGAAGAGCAAAGGTCCAGGTAAAAAGTGGAAGGGTTTTTAGAGTGTTCCATCCCAAATCAAACCAGAACAACGGCAACGCCAAAGCGTAGCGAATCCCATCGAACAGAAATGGCTGGCATTTTTACAAACGAAATATATAGCAAATATCATAAAAACACACATAGGCCAAGCAAATGGGCTCATAAAAGGCCCAAACATCCCAAAAATTGCAACAGTTTTTAAATTAGTCTTATATTATGTATTAATATCAGTTGAAAAACATATCAAAAATATAGAAAAATATATGCAGTGGACAAATATGAAATTTCACTTCCTAGGTACCCCCTACAACCCTACCCCAAAATTGAGTATTGGTAGGAAACAATTTTTTCTTCCCAAATGGAATACTTTAGTCAAGTATTCAAGCTTTATTATGATAGATCAAATATTCACAAATAATTAAAATATTATTTTAATCAATTTTGAGACCAGTAATTGGTCATTTGACCCCAAAGTATAACAAAATAGGCCACAAAACAGGCATATTATCACATATCTATTTAGATATTTTAGGATCAGTTTGTCAGAAAAGCATGAAAAAAATCATGGTGTTACATATTCATATGAACTTCATATTTGGTGAGTGTCAGAATTCTAAGGTGTATACTTAGGAAGAAAAAAATTATTTCATTTTCATAGTTTTGCCCCGCCCACTATAGGGGAGACTATAGTTTTGATGATTACTCCCACAATGCATCACATTTGTATAAGAGTTGACATCTAAATCATTTATATAGGCTTGTCATCATCTAAAATACAAGTTTTGTGAAGGTTTATACCTTATTAGTATGAAAAATAGGAATTATTAGTTGCACCAGGTGAAATGTTAAGGTGACCTCACTTTTATTTGATGAATAATTACATATCACCACTCTGATATTAGGGTATTTGATAACTGCTCTATACTAGGCTTATCTAAATAATGTAAGTTGTAGTTTTTGTGGAATTTAATATTGTTTAAATTATTAATTACAATCCGCAATTGCAAAATTTGCATATATTTAAATTCATCAGATAAATAAATCATTACATAAGAGTACATTACTATGGAACTATCAATTGGATGTATAATGCTGTAGAAACGAATTTATGGTTATTAAACGGAATTTAATCTGACAGAGAACATTAAAATCTCAGATATCTGGGGAGTCTTTCATTAATATAATTTCAGTGCATAGGAACGATGGTAATTCTGTCTGTCAGGTTGGAAAACATTGAGTGTACATGTGCTGCATTCAGAATCGGATGCAGATATTGTGATTGTGAAAACTGCAATCCAAAGTGTCCAAACCTCAAATACAGTACTCATACAGATCTCCTTGTGCTTCTCATTTATCATGCACAAAACACAAACTTCAACATTTTCTTCAAACCTGAACCAAAAGCAGCAACCCAAGAAACAAAATGTTGGAATATAAATGAAATAAGATTGTCTTTGGGAAAAGTGGTCTGTGACAATATTTTGTTTCTTTTCTGGGGTGTGACATCGCATTCAGGTTATATATGGCATAGACAAGAGGCTATCATTGAGGCAGATAAAAAAGAGTGAGTTCTTGAGAAAACAACCGGTTGTTTTTAAATTACCAAAAGCACTGGTGATCCGCTCGATTACAAAATGTCTAAACATCGAAAGTACGGTATTTCTTTTTTCCCTTTTTTCACGCGTTGTAGGCAGAATCCCCAATGTTGTGGGAATTTTGCCTACAATGTGTGAAATAAAGAAAAAAGAAAAATCAAACCTTTGATGTTCCGACATTTTGTTACAACGTAAACAAGTAGAAAACCAGTGAAATGCAAGCAACTCTGTCATTGCAGAGGAATATGCTCTTTTATCAATTTATGGTGGAAAAATGGTGAAACCCTAAATTATCTTAGGCTTCTAAAATTCTATTAAAAGAGAGCAGCAAGGTCTGAATTATTGCAGCCCCGTGTTCTTCCTCCATTTCCTGATGCTGCGGAATACCACAGTTACAGAGTGTACCATCAGATCCAGGAGTGGGAGGGAAATAAACTGCCTGCATTATAATTGGGCTGGGAAATAAGCAACGAAACTATGTACCAATTGCCTAAATGCAGCTCCCCTTTCTCAGAGATCATCCATTGTGTGTGTAAGGCAGATTGTATTTCTATGAGATGTTCTTGTAGAAAAATGAAATAACTGTTCTTTGACATGTAAGGTATGCAAAGGCATTTGTGCAAATACCTCCATTACTGATCATGAGAATAATGATGACTAAATAATGAACACTGGCAGATCTGGCCCCTCCCGCCCCCTTGGGCGGGCCCAGAAAAAAAAATTGGGGCCAAAAAAGGCCTTAAGGCCACGAAAAGTGGGCCTTTTTGGTCAGAAATGGGCCTTTTAAAGACTTATTTTTTAATTGAAGAAAATGGGTCTCAATATTTCAAAATTCAGGGTTTTAGGGGCCCAAAATTTTTCCGCGGAAGTTTTTTTCTCAGACCTGACATTTGCCCCCCCCCCTTGTTTGTTCCCATATCCGCCCCTGATGAAGGCTGGTGATAGACAAGGTTGTAACTGATTGTTGTTACAACATAATAATAGTATTAAGCTTATTTAATCAGCATTCTTTTTTGCTCTCTATAAGTAAGACACATATATGAAGGTTAAGATTACAAAATTAAGGCAGCATTTTTGATAATGAACATAACATAATCGAACCAGGCCTTGTATAAAGACCAGGGATTTACTTTGCGTTACTTTGAGTAGTTAACTCAGGAGGATTTATTAATGTAGAAACCTTTTCCTCATTTTTTTTATTGAATTTCATCTTGAAATCGAACATTCTTCAGTTGAACTTCTTCATTTCATTTCTCAATATCACTGTGTGGTTAAGAACACCTTAGTCAAAACTAACAATTTTTCCTTAATACAGGGCGAGCCAAAAAGGTAACCCAAACAAATCTTAATAATCCAGTCCAATCATCCTGCATGGATTTAGTGTCATATTTGGCAGAATTGAGTCTTGGTCAATGTATTATCAATCTACCCAGTCTCAGTGGTCTCTAGTGGTCACGATTTTATGGCCATTTTATACCATGCCATGAAATATGGGTGTCATGCCTGGAGGCCAACTTGAACGTATCGTACGTTGTTGTTCAAATCAGGAGCATAAAAATCATGTGTTATGACTCTCATCTTCATTCTTATCTCTTGTTTTAATGTTTCAAGTGTTGTTAGTATCGAATAAAGGTCCACAGATAAAAAAAACTGGTGGTATTGATGTCCAGTCAGTTAGGCACATTTCGATATTTTGAGCACATTTTGTAAATGGCCATAAAATCGTGACTATTAAGGATAGATCAATGGCACTTAGTAGAATGAAAAAACATTGAACAGGGTAATTGTGCCAAATATGATGTCAAACCCATGCTGAATGACTCGGTTATTAACAAACATTTGGTTGGGTTACCTTTTTTGGCTTATATTAATAAACTGATGTTAGGGACAGGGATATTTAACATTTTGTTGCCTTTTCAAGGACATTTTCTGACCACTGATTGTAACAAATCGTTCTCTGTTTTACCAGAAAATGTATATTATATATCAAATTGAATTTAAAAGGAAAAAACATTTGATAATTTAACAGTTATCAACTAAAAGTAGGGCTTCCCCTATATTTCACCTGGCATTTGCTGTTTTTCTACTTTTTTTTTTACATAATCCTTTCCTGAAAACCTCAAAAAACTGTTTTCAGGACAAAATAAGCCTTTACAAATAATTTAGTTGTGCTATTGAGTTCAAATATGACATATCTTGGAAGTAATTAAACAAAAGTAAGGTCACCCCAAAAGTGGGTGTGGTAAAATATTGAAATTTCAAATATTATTTTCACGCTCAATATTCACTTAATGACCCTGATACTTATCAAAGACAATGTTCAGGTGTACAATACCCTCCTTGATATTTTTCTTGCAATTCTGATGAATTGATACAGAAATAAATACATTGTTATATTAAATTCGGGCTATTTGATGGCCTATTTTCAGATATTTGGCGCTAGAAATGCCAATTATTGCACTCAAATAGTTGGTTAACAATTTTTAGTGGCTCTTATGTCAGTAAACTATCATAATATTACTCGTTTAGTTGACAAAAGTATGACATTTTGAAATAAAAAAATATTTACAATCCCATACTCAAATTTGGAGGGGGGTACCTGGAATGTGACATTTCATATTTGTCCACTGCATATATTTTTCTATATTTTTGATATGTTTTTCAACTGGTATCAATATACAATATAAGCCTTATTTAAAAACTGTTGCAATTTTTGGGATGTTAAACTTCCATTTGCCTAGCCTAACAAGAAAGGCCACCATTTTCAAAACGGTTGCTCACTAGCCAAGTTGTCATCAGAAGAAATAATATGCTTTTAAGTAGCCACCTATAAAATTTTTGAAAAATCGCACACATGTACTTGTAAAATAACACACATAAAAATGGTGGCAATTTTTCAAAATGGCCGACTACTCCCCAAAGTTTTATTAGACAATGTGCCATGCTTAGAGTATTCACATATCAAATATGAACAAAATCGCTCCACTACTTTTCGAGTTATAGTAAAAAATGTAAAAATGGTGGCCATTTTTCAAAATGGCCGCCTACTACCTAAAGTGTCAATAGACAGTGTGCCATGCTTTTAGTATTCACATACCAAATATAAACAAAATCACTCCACTACTTTTCGAGTTATAGTAAAATACGTTAAAAAGGCAGCCATTTTTCAAAATGGCCACCTTCTACCAAAAGTGTCATAGGACAGTGTGCCATGCTTATAGTATTCACATACCAAATATGAACAAAATCGCTCCGCTACTTTTCGAGTTATAGTAAAATACGTTAAAATGGCGGCCATTTTTCAAATTTTTTTTTCAAAATGGCCGCCTTGTACCAAAAGTGTCATAGGACAGTGTGCCATGCTTATAGTATTCACATACCAAATATGAACAAAATCGCTCCACTACTTTTCGAGTTATAGTAAAATATGTTAAAATGGCGGCCATTTTGAAAAATGGCCGCCTTCTACCAAAAGTGTCTTTAGACAGTGTGCAATGTTTATAGTATTCACATACCAAATATGAACAAAATCGCTCCACTACTTTTAGAGTTACAGCAAAAATCGTAAAATAACGAGTAAAGGCCGTCATTTTTCAAGATGGCTGCCATGTGCTTTTTTAATATCTACATTTGTAGCTTTATTAATGTCCTTTATAATTTTTTTACACTAAAAACATATTGCTATTACAGTTTTACATATTGCACCTAAATTACTGTAAAATCGGCACTAAAATGGCCGCCATTTTGAAAATCGGCTTTCGAGCAGAACTTCTACCCCCATAGGGTATATGTGTACAAAATATGAACAAAATCGGGCCGACGGTATTTGAGTTATTGCCCGGACGGACGGACGTACGGACGGACGGACGTACGGACGGACGGACGGACGGACGGACGGACGGACGGAGGCGTTCCCTATATCCCTCCGAACTTCGTTCGATGGGATAACAATGATACAATACCTTGTTATGAAATACTGTACCTTTGATTTGAACTTTAATCGTCCAAGTATATTAACTTCATATTGAATCAGAAATGGCTTTCAAGGAAATACCTGCAGAAGAACGATTGATTTGGCCAATGAATGGGTTGGTTTTGTCTGAGATTGAGCAGCTTTTAAGACAAAAAATTAAAAAAAAATATTTTCAATCTCATATAAAGATGCCAAACTAGTGAAGAATCTCTTTGCAGGGATTCAAATTTTACCTGAACCAATATCTATGCATAAAATAAGTTAAAGGTGTAATGTGACCCTTTAACAATAAATGAGACTTCTTTTGCAGTAGAATCTGGTTTAATCCAGAATGAACAAAATCAAGCCTGATATGCAGTATTATTATTCTTTTTAACACGTGTCATTTCATTTGTAGAGTGGCCACTAAAGAAATGTTTATTGCTCTAACAGTCTGAAGGGCAAGGGGTCATTTCAAGATTTGTACTAAATTAGACACATGCAGTAAATCTTGTGAGGGGAACTACTTTGTTACCTCAAAATAGTGTTCTATTTGAAATTGTTCAACTTACACACAAGACAGAGATTAATTCTACATTAAATCAATGGACATCTCTTAGTATTCCTCTTAAGGAGGTGATAACTTATGGAGAGTTATGTGTGAAACATTCATTATGTGTGACATAAGTCTAATACATGTACTAGCCAATTATCTGTTAATACTGTTTAAACAAACAAATAAAATAACAAAATGCTGCATATAAATAAATGCTGATAAATAAATTAATAAAAAATAAATAAATATACAAAGTACACAAGTTAAAGCACAGGCGCAGGAAGATTTAAATCTCCCCCCCCCCCAGTCACTGTATAGCTAAGGTAAAAAAATATCTACCTCATACATAGTGAGTGGGAAGGGGATGAACTCTTGTTCCCGTGTCTGTGAGTTAAAGTACAACTTAAGCAAAATCTGCATATGCATATAGACTGTACCAGATAACCAAATAATCACAGGTCATATCCTGATCTGAATAATCACATTGCTAAGATCAGACCTGATGTTAATAAACTATGCTCTACATCACGGGGGGGGGAGTCTACCTGCCTATATACAACCTACCGCCAAGCAAAGACCCGAAGATGTCTGAAAATGTAGGGGGGAAGTTAATAAACTCCTGTTTCTATATTGAATTTCTCAATATGAGAAATAGGTAAAACACAGAATTGTTTGTAACCGATATAGTAGTTTTTAAAGATACAATAGGTGCATATTTATCACATTTGTTTCTAATCACTGTCACGCATATCATTGAAATCACTGGTGAAAGTTGAAAATGAAAGACCCGATTATACCACAAGTACAATTCTGTAGGACCCTATGCTACTGCCTGAGTATTCTGATTGTACCGTGAGTAGAGCCCGATGAGGTAGTGAGTAAGCTTTAGGGTAATCATATAATAACATGACGTATATAACAAATATTCCTGTTAATCTATCGTATATTCCTGGCGTCGGGATATAAAATAATATGATATGATTCCCGCAGCACTATACGTCAACATCTGTGTGCCACAAAGTTCTTTAAAACAGTTCTATCATGCTGACAATGCTCATAATCCAATGATTTTGGTATAAACTTTGGTCCTTCAACCCCGTTGCCATGTTTTATTCAAAATCTGAATTATTTAGTCAAACTGAACAGATGTCATATAAAGTGATTATATAAAAACATTTAAATCAATGGTTTGATACCACTCTTAACGGAATGAGGCCACAAAATATAAAAATTTGTTTAATTAGAATATTATATGTGTTGTTTTGTATCTACCAAGACAGTAAACATATGAAAAATAGTTATATATTTTGATTGGTCTAAAATGTGCAAAGTCAAAAAACCCGTTATACTCATTTGCTCTCAATTTTGACTATAAAGATAAGATATCAGTACAACGGCTACTAAAATGAAGACAGATTGACCAGCAGAGATTAGGAAAGTAAAGCGTATTCATTTTTATCCATGAACATGGATAATAATTGATTTAAATGCTATTTCTATCCTCCAGTGTTGATAGCCTAATTTCTATACTACTGTGTCAGTCTGGGTCAAAATGTTACAATAGTATTAATCACGAGGAACCCTTCTAAAAAAGGCAATTAAATCAAGGTTCAAAAACTCCCAAAAGTAGCCCTAACACCATTTCATCATCAGAACGTCATAAACTCGCAATATCACCGGAGCTCAACAGTTTTTTCTAAAGTAATGTTCGGATTCTGAGATCCTTTACTCAAGATATTTTCGGATCTTTATAATATTACTCATCGATCCCATCGGATAACATCGGATCTTTTAGGACAGCGTTTATGTGAAGATTTTGCTATTTTGACCTAATAATTTGACACTTAATATATTATGCATATAACACACATTTACCGGCCCAAGTATGTCGCATGTATGGCTCGTTATCAATTAAAGCGAGTACAAATGAGAAAAACAAATCAAAAACCATCATACGTTTTACTTATCTCTTAATTTGGACATAAAAAATATATTTCAACTAAAATTCTGGGCCAATTCCGCCTGCTAGAACATCTTAGTAATGATTCTAACCATCCAAGGGAATTGATAGTGGCCTAGTATTACCTTTATTGACCATTTTCCTATGAGATGTAGTTTACCAAACATTGGATTGGCGGTATAAGCGTGTCTTACTCTGCGGTATGTTGTATATAGACAGGTAGACTTTCCCCGTGTATGTTCCAAAGTAGAGACAGTGAATCATTACCAGTATGAATGCTCCAAGTTCAATGATGAAAGAGAATGTATGTTCTACTCTATTGAAAAAATATTATTAGGAGCAGATGTGAAACCTGAAAGACATAAAACTCATGGCTGATTTTAATAAATCTCTTACTAGAGTACAAATCAGGAACATTAGATTACAACTAATTGAACAAGACTAAATAGACTCTAATATATAAGAAAACAAGAATAACAGACAGAGACTGTATGTACATAGTATTACATGAAGCTTACATATGTACATAGATAACATTAAGTTAAGAACAAGGGAGTCAATAAGAAAAGACATAATAGATTAATATAAAATAGCTGTGCAACAAGTGTAAAGTACGTAGTGTGCGCACATAGAGAAAAACAAGCACAAAGTGACTAAATGCCGAGGTTAAAGCGGCTTTAAAGCACAACAACAACAAAAATTGTGGTCATAAATATTTCAAATCAGTTTTTTCATTTTTTCTCTATTTCTAGAAATGAATTTTCAAAGCTCCTATCATTTGCAATATGTTGGGCACATTTTCTGAAAACAAACATTCCGAAACAAATGCAAACTTTTAACTTTTTTCAGTCTCATTTTCAGAGAGCTGAAAAAGCTATTTCAGCATGTCATTTTAACCATGACCATTGTGATCCTGGCCATGTAAATAATATATGGGAGTACTAAAACTGTAGCAGAATTATTCACTTAGAGAGCCATGTTAGATTTTGACAGCTGATAATGTGATCAGCGCCTTACTAATTTTGTTCTCTAACTGTGCCCCACAACAGTATCATCCATCCTTGCAAGTATCGGAGCGCTGAAGTATTCCCTTTTCGATCAAGACTTATTGGTTGAGTGAATGTTTTTTCTGCCCAATTCCAATATGACGGAGGTTATCAAAATTCATTTCATTCATTGCATATCTCACTACTTAGCAAACTGCCATATTAGAAATGGGTCGAAAAAACATTCACTCAATGAACATATTTGCAAGTCTAACTCGAAGAAGAAGTACACGTAGTTCAGCGCCCTTATACTTGCATGGATGAATGATACTGATGCAGGACACAGTTAGAGACCAAAAGTAAGCAGCTGATCGCATTATTCAAGATTTAAAGGTCACTATTATTCAGCTGTTCAGTGCGCCGTTGGAAAGCTAGATATGGCACTTTGAAAAATTGAAATAGCCTGATATAACCGTGACAATGCCATTTTATATCACATGTCATGACCATAGTAATGTTAAAGCCTGATATCACCGGAACAATGCTATATTATATTGCAAGGCCTGACATGACCGTGGTAATGTTAAAGCCTGATATGACCGTGACAATGGTTGCAAGGCCTGTCATGACCGTGGTAATGTTAAAGCCTGATATGACCGTGACAATGGTTGCAAGGCCTGTATTGTATTGTATTGTATTGTATTGTATTGTATTTTGTTTACCACCAATGAAGGTGAGCAATACCTCTTGGGTATGTCCCGTATATATACGGTCGTAATTTACATAATTAACATGGAAGATAGACCCAGAAACCCCTCCTTAAAGGAGCCCTGTGTTCTTTTATGTGCACTTATACATAGACATACAAGTACACACCACAGCCTTTTTGTACAAGTTGCAGACCACTCAGTCAAACACCCTGAAGTACTTCACGCAAACAAGCAAATTTAGTCTTGCCTGAACCGGGGATCGAATCCGAGACCTATTGCGTAAGAGGTACCTGCGCTACCGCTGAGCTACACGGGTGGACTACAAGGCCTGTCATGACCGTGGTAATGTTAAAGCCTGATATGACCGTGACAATGGTTGCGAGGCCTGTCGTGACCATGGTAATGTTAAAGCCTAATATGACCGTGACAATGGTTATATTAATATACATTTAGTTGCATGAGAATACTGTAATGAAAAATTTCATCGTTTATCTACCTTAAATATGTAAATCTAGACTACTACAGTGTACTACTACATGTACTACTACTTTAACTCATAATTCACTTCCACAAACTATAATTCTAATCTCATTCAAGAACGTGAACATTACCACGGTCATGACAGGCCTTACAACAATTGCCACAGTCATAGAAGGCTTTAACATTACCACGGTCATGACAAGCCTTGCAATATACATGTAGCATTGTCACGGCCATATCAGGCTTTAACATTACCACGGTCATGACAGGCCTTGCAATACAATATAGCATTGTCACGGTTATACCAGGCTTTAACAATAACAATACCACGGTAGCGGCTGGATCCTTGTGAAACTTAAAAACACTTATAATATGGTGACGGGTGTCTCGCAAAAATGGTCTCGCAATCTAGCATGTGAAATTTCATGATCATGTGCTATTTTCAGATAAACATAATTCATTCCAAACATCATCTACATCTTTC